TTCTGGTACGCAGGCGCCCGAAGAGTCCCAAAGAGGCATCGGATCAATGACTTTACTTGGCTGCCTCTCTCTGTCATTGAGAGATCTATTCGACTTCACCGCAAGGATGCAAAAGAGGGTTGGACATATTTGCAGGATGAAGTTGAGTTGTATGAGCTTCTCGACTTCTCATCTTCAATGCAGAAGATAGTATTGACTGAGTGCTGAGTCTCTGCCAATAGGATATACATGTATTTTCATTTACATATCTTGCTAACATCACATCCTGTTGTGTACATTATTTTGTGGCCAAATCTCCCTCCATTCCCGCATCGCCTCTAATGTCAGGTGTGACTGAATGGTCGTGGGAATAGTCGCCGCCGTGGGAACAGTCGTCGTCGTTTGTAGTCGTTTCGACTGACATCATGCGACTAAACGACAGTCGCACGATCATTCGACGACTCGCACAACACTGTTGTGCACCCGAAAATCGACATCGTCAGAGGTGTGGATGATAAGGTCAAACTGGTCAAAGTCTGGGAATGGTGCAACTTGGGCCATGTTAGGAAGATATAAGAGATCCCTTCGGACGGTGAAGCTTGAATATATGAGGTGCTCGCACGAAAGAAAGACTGGGTTTAGGAGTGTGAATATGTGATGCAAGTAGGCGAGAGACGAACGTACCAATGCGAAGCGTGGACCGTAGCAAGAACGGGGCATACGACGACGCGTTGTGCGTATACGACTTGGAATTGTTTATACATGGTACGGCAGAGTTGAACAACGCGCTGGGGATGTAAGCAAGTAAGCAAGTAAGCAAGTAGGCAAGTAAGCCAGCCAGCAAGTCTAGGAGATCTAGAATAGGTTAGGGCTATGGTCACGTGCTCTGGTGGCTGTCTCCTCACCCGAGCGGGGGCCAAGCCAGCTTGCTGCTGTTCTCGGCTAGGATCCCAGAGTTATCCTAATCATCCGGAACTTGTCCCCATGCGGGTCACCAGCTAACAAACTCGTGCGGCGGACTATCGCTCAGTAAAAGCGCTTTCTCTCGGCCAACCACGTCGGTGGGTCCGACACAAAACTCGCTGGATCGTCGTTGGAGCGCCTTTCGGCCGCATGCCTTCGCTGTCTTCTCGCCGCCTCACACGCAAGTGGTCGGACTGGTTCTCGGAGACTGGCGCATACATCCAAGACCATCTCAACTTTTACCGCGTCCACATTCTGGTATTGTGAGTGATTTTCGCCTATGGTTACCGGGTGTGGTCCCTGCTTTTGCGGCGTTTCTGATTTCCAAGGCGCCGTCCAATTGGGATGTCAGGCTGCTGGCGATGGCGGTCCGACTCAGGCCCAGAGTTCTGACGGCCCAGCGCCGTCTCGTCGATTTAGAGTTTTGAAGACGCGTGTATGCACAGCGGCACCGGAGTCGCGAGGCTGTGTTTCTCTGCCTTCATTTGCAACGGTGTAATCGCCATAGTTGTCATGGCAATGCCACGCCGCCCTTTCCCGTCGGGTGCTGGCTGATAGGCACTGGCAGAGAGGGAGCGAGGCGGAAGCATTCGTGGAAGCCCTTCCGCGCATGACAAATCTCTGAATATTCGTTGATATGGCGTAAGCGACAGAGGCTCAGGACGAATCCTGCCTCGTCTCACTCAAGTTGCATAGTCTATATCCACACCCAATCTACTTATTGGTACAATGTGCAGCCGCCGGCGTGGCAGCACTTTCGAACGCCTGCCACACATACTTGTCATCCCCCCAAACGGGGTGGCAGCATGCCCGCACGCGGCGTAAACCTAATGCTCTTCCTAATACGCCGCCAGCTCGCTCTCCTGTCCTAAGTTTTTCGCACCCAGCTCGTAGCATATGATCGCCATTGCGCCGGCGAAGCAGTGCAAAAACGCTGTCGATGTCCTGTCGCAGGTAGGCGGTGCTATTGCCCATCTGTCTATCTGGCCAGATTGCCTATTGGCAATGCACAAAATCTCTATAGGTCCTGCAGCCTTTGTCGACTTTTGGAGTGGCTCAGCATTAGGTGGTCCTCGACTTCGGCACAGCACAGAGCGGTTCTTCCGCAAAGAAATGCTTTGTAAACAGTATGCATATTCACAGTCCCTACGGTGAACTCAGATATCGACTATGGCTCACCGCATTCAGTTGCTATCAGATTAAACAAAGTTACGTAAGCGTAACAGAGTTTATGTACCTGTCGATATGAGCATATCTGTGCTGTGAGGAGTTTATTGTGGCCGGCATAAGCACTGCGGGACGGACAGCCGAACAGTAATTCATTATGTCCCTAATGCTGTGTTTGTTCTCAGTTTGGCCCTTTCGCTGTGAACAAATGACTAACCTCTGAGTTTCAGCACGTTCACGCCTCTCATATTTTCGGGTATCCAGTATGGAGCCAATGGCAAATATCCAGTCGCGTACATCGACTGCCTATTCAACTGCGTCAGCGCTATGTCCGTGTGCGGGCTAGCCTCAATCGACCTCAGCAGGATGACAGCATTCCAGCAAGCGCTCCTGTTCATCCAAATGTGTCTAGGCAACCCGGTATGTCTGCACCTCATTCGAATGCCGCCGGCTTACAAGCCTCCTGCAGGTCCTTGTCTCCTGGGTCATGGTGTATATTCGACGGTCGTTCTTCGCAAAGAAGTTTCAGCACATCATGGAAGCGAACATTGCGCGCGAGATGTCCGAGAAGACGCAGAGTTCAGTAAAAGTGCGGATGCTCCCCTGGTGGCGTCGCGCCATCCGCCGGTTCCTTCCTCGGTCTCGCGATGTTTCGCGCACGTCGAGCGAGAATGGCGAGCGCTCTTCGTACGAGCACCGTGGGTCGTCGTTTGCGCGCGTGCGTCCAGAGATGATCCGTCGCATGGACGATGCGCCGCGGCTGGTCAACCCTAGCGGGTGGATCAGCGAGGGCCGCTCGGAGCCGCTCACGATCGATCCGACAGGAAACAATGACGTCGGTCGCTACCTAGCTTTCGCGGACATAGACAACGACGAGTTAGTGAGATCTGCGATACCTGTACAATCACCCGCTGGGCCCGCACAGGGGTTAGCGCTTGATGCCGAACGCAGCTCCGAGTCGGAAGATATAGATGATGAGGACGACACGTCAGTCAATGACGGTTCGGCAGATGGTCATTCCAATGCCTCGAGTCCCAAGTGGGTCCATGTGTGTCTGCCCTGATTGGAGCTCAGCTCACGAGTTCAGTAGGCCGCGTCGGATATTCTCAGATCCTGCCCTGCAGATACCGCTGACAGATTCGCCAATCTCAGGTTGGTGTCGGTCGGGTGCTCCGAACTAGCCGTCTCTGACATCTTGACAGAGATGAACGAGTTGCCGCGATCGCTGTCCATCAACATCGCTTCGCAGAACCGAAGTCCGATCATGCCCCGCACGCAGACGGTCGAATTCGCGCAGACGCCGTTACCTCTACGCGAGGCTCGTTCCCTTGATCGCGCGCAGAGACAGCACCTCGAATCAATCACGCAAGGGCGAAGCTATACAGGCAACTTCTCCTCCCACTCAGGTCGACGAGGATCCATGCGCGGACCCACCCTCTCGTTGCAGCAGAGCATGAACTCACAGCACTCAGGGCGCCGGTCAAGCATGCACGTCCCTGCTATGCACAGCGGCTTCGGAGGTTTCCCGATGCCACACCAGATCGCATCCCGTCTCTTCAGCCGCCTCTTTCCGAAGCTGGAGCACAAGTTGACGCGCACGCTCACGCTCCCTCGGACGCGGACCATCGCATCGCAGCACGGGTCGCTTGCACCAGGCGCGCGTGCCGTGTCATACATCAGCTTTGAGGCGACCGTCGGGCGAAATTCGCGCTTCCGGGCGCTCACTCGTGATCAACAGGAAGAACTCGGCGGCGTGGAATTCAGGGCGCTCAGTGCGCTGTTGTGGATTGTCGGCGGTGTAAGGCATCCTCCCACATTCCGGATCGCTTGATAACTGACTCTTATGTAGTATCACATACTCACACAGTTGTTAGGCTTTATGGTCATCTCCTCCTACATGTCAATATCGCGATGGAGCGACGACTTCAAAATACCCCAACTCTACAGGGACATCTCGCCGGTGTGGTAGGTACCCTATTCTGGTACTGTTACTATCTTTTCAACAGCCTGTCCAGGTTTTCTGCGTTCCAGGCAGTCTCCGCGTATACGAATGCGGGCATGTCTCTGGAGGACGAGTCCATGGTCCCCTTCCAACGAGCATACCCCACGATTCTAGCCATGATTTTCCTAATATTAGCTGGCAACACAGCATTCGTAGGTCTCCAGTTCCTTCTCCAGTTGTTCATTACTGACACTTACTGGTAGCCTATTTTGTGAGTCTTCTGCTGGTAGTCGCTACTTGTAAGCTAATACCCGTCCTTGCACATGTGTGCAGTCTACGCCTTACGATGTGAGTGCTAGTCTCGTCACATGCGTCAGTCAAGTGCTGACCGTTTAATGTAGTTGGCTGATAGCGAAAGTTGTGCCACGGCGTTCTCGGGTGAACGAGACACTCCATTTTCTACTAGATCATCCTCGCCGATGTTTCATCTATCTCTTTCCGTCGCATCAAACGTGGTTTCTGCTGACCGTCTTAATTACTCTCAAGTACGTTTATCTCGTTCGACCACCGCTCTAGATACTCATTGGGGAGTGCAGCGCCACAGATTGGTTCTTCTTCCTCGTGCTTGACCTTGGAAACTCAGCAGTGACATCAATACCCATCGGTGTCCGCATCATCGACGGCTTGCTCCAAGCTGTAGCCGTAAGAGCAGCGGGTTTTAGTGTTGTCACTCTTTCAGACCTTGTACCAGCAGTCAAGTTAGTACAAAGAACCGTGTCATAAGTGGAGGATACTGATACTCGTGCAGGGTGTTGTACGTCATTATGATGTACGTTAGCGTCTGTAAGTGTCCAGTTGCTGTCGTTCCAAAGCGATATTGACCATTATATCAGATCCGGTTGCAATGAGGTGTGCTGCCTTCTCTAATCATTGCTCAACATCTAATGGTTGTCGCTTGAAGCGTACGTTCTACCAATGTCTACGAAGAAAAGTCACTCGGGGTCTTTGAGGACGAGGACGAGTCGATTGACGTCGATGAAACCTTCACCCCGAGTGGCAACCGAATGACCGTCTGGAGCCGATACCTTGGCCAGCATATGCGCAAACAGCTCTCTTTCGGTAAGTGACTCAGTCAATGCATCTCAGCGCTAGCCAACTCCTACATCCTAGACATGTGGTGGTTAGGCACCGCGCTGTTCTTGATATGCATCATCGAGGTGGGTTATGCCTAAGTCGTATCGGCCCCCACGCACGCTGAACACCTGTGACGCTCAGAAAGACAAGCTTCAGGACGACGCCAACGCCACGTGGTTCAACATCTTCAGAATCTGTAAGCCTGCGAGCTTGGTCAGTCAACCGCGCTTCTCTCACGCCCTGTCATAGTGTTCGAGACGGTGTCAGCATACGGGGGTGTCGGCCTGAGTCTCGGGGTGCCGTATGTGAGTAATACGCTGCCCAGAATAGTCGAGTATGTGTGGGATGCTGACGCACATCACGCTTGCACAGGACAACTACTCTTTCTGCGGTGCTTTCAATCCGCTCTCCAAGCTCATCATCTGTGCAGTCATGCTGCGGGGAAGACATCGCGGCCTGCCCGTCGCCATCGACAGGGCGGTCATGCTGCCTATGGAGTATCATCCGGATTTTCAGAGGTCCAACATAGACGGCCAAGAGGACCGTTTCGATTATCATCCAGCATCCCCCAATGGCAACGCTCGCTCGGACGCCGTGTCCGAGAAGTCGCCGCGGTCGTATCGGCGAAATACACCGATGTCGGCTGGCCAAGAACACGCGCGCGGTGGCACACTATCGCCCCGTGAGGCTAATCCACAAATCGCCAGACTTCAGGACGAAGAGGCATTGTAGAGCCCTGGGTCCACGTTGTTGTGCATGTTGCTGACGGATGGACGGACGGACGGGTTCACCTACTGTTTATTGCTTTGGAAATAACTTGCATTTGCATACTCATAACATTATTGGCACCCATCATCATTCTTAGTTTATCTGTACCGCTACATTCAATTTAGTACGCATCCCACCACCCTGTCCGTCCTCTACAACTTCTACTAGTTCTATATGTAGCAGCTCAATTACACTATTTGTGTCCGTTGACGTATCTGTCGGTCTAGTAAGCATTTTTCATACCGAGGGTAACATACGGATATAGAGGAGATGGGCTACAAAGCGTCAAGACGGCAGGAAAGAGAAAGGTCCGTTACTGAATATAATAGTTAAAGGCAGAGGGACTACGCCGTGCTAGGGGCGACCTCCTCATACGCAGGAGGTGCTTCGCCGAATTCGCTTTCTTGCCCAGCAACGAGGCGTTCGAACTGCGTACCACGTTCGAAGATGGAATTTTGGCGGGAAAGAGGCGGCGGAGTGAGATGATGATAATTGTTGCTGTGCTCGGGTATCGTTGCAGATGCAGGCGGTGGTTCCGTTGACGGATGGAGTGCGGTGAACGACGATTGTGCAGAACGGTCAGCAGGCCGTTGTGCAACGCTTCCATTGGGAGCAATGTAATTGCAACCAGCATGATAGGGGCTCGGCATTTCCAACGCGCGAGAGTAAGGTGGTAGGGATAAGTACTCCTGGTTACACAGGCACTGCAAGGCAGAACACCAGTCAGTGCGTTCGGAGTGACAATGAAGAAGAAAAAAGAAGAGAACGCACAGATAGAATATGTATCGGCGTCTGCACCACGATGTCGAAGAGCTTCCGCTTTCCCGTGTGCGGATCGACAACCTGGTCGTCTCCGCGCTCCACTCGAAACACAATTTTGAGTGTATGCGTGACGAAAATGTTGCTCCGCTTGTTGCGATTTGTGAAATGCAGCTGCGTGCACAAGTCCGGGAGCTGGATGTCCTTCCGGATGCGCCAAGGACCCGGTCCCATCAAGCTCGAGGCGTACTCGCCCACGTCCTCGTCAGGCGGAAGCGTCTCCGCAAAGGGCGACTGCATGAACGCCTGCATCTCGTCGGGATTGTAAGGGAGGATAGGCGGACCATCTTTTTGTGTATGTCGAAGGGCGAGAAGGGGAAGTCGCGTAATAGGATCCGTTCGCGCTATGCGTTTGAAGTCTGTCCAATAGTCTACTCGTTCTGCCGTCCCAAGAGTCAGACGATGCAACAATGAGAAGGTAATCGACGCCTCACCTTCTAGCAAAACCGACACACGATACACCTTCAGTTTTGTCCACGGCATGAAAGTGATACTGATAGGCATAATACCGCCGATAGGGAAGCTACGGCCAGATACTGTGATAAGATACTGCATCTGCGTATCCCACTGCCGCTCAACAATGATGCTGTCAGTCTCTTCGATGTCATCCTCCGAGGGACATGCGACGACGGTTATCTCTTGCGATGCGGACAGCTTCGTTGTGAACGCTCCTGGCCGGTGCGCGTATGCCTTGAGCTTCCATATCACTGAGCCGAAGTCACAGCGCAGGGTTGGCGGGTAAGTAGCCGGAATGGCAAACGATATGGGATAGGTATATACGCCTGTGAAGCCAAGCCTAATGTAAGGTCAATGACGTGCATACGGTAAATGCAAGCGTACCCTTTCTGAATTCCTTCCATCCGTCCCCGTATTCCTTATCGTCGTCGAGGTCCAGCCCGACAAGCTCGCTGACTCGCCCTAATGTGGATCGCTCCCTACGATTCCCCTCCTCCTCTTCCTCCTCGGCGGCATCCATCCGCTCTCTCGGCCGGCCTCGCGGTGGGGTGTCATCACCCGGCTTTCGGTCAACTGCTGCCGATCGCGAACGCGAGCGCATGCGATCCATGACCACGTCCAGCAGGGCATTGGATACATTCGCAAGGCTGAACCGCTTGTGCTTTCTCCCGCGTCCATCGTCGACCTCGCGATGGTCTGATGACCGTGAGGGTTCCCGCTGGCGGAGGGTCGCCAAGCGAGAGGATGAACGGCCAGGCAACGGGCTCGAGCTGCTTCCCGCAATGAACTCCGGCGGACGGTCCTCATCAAAGCTCTGTCGCGCCGAGTATGGCTGCGGACTGTCAAGCCGCAGACTCGACGAAGACGAGCGGTGCATGTGCAACATGGGCCTGACGTGATGTACGGATGTGAGGCCTGTAAGATATCAGTCGTCCGCACATCGCCGTAGTTGTTATCTGAACGCACTGCTTCGTTCGGTGTCTGGCGCCGATGAACGGCCGAACTCGTTTATGTCCGTCGCAGACTCCTGTATCGGCGACTCTTCCACGGTATGCATGCGGTGGGACACGGACGCGGTCGGACTGAGGGTGCTAGGCGTCATCGAGTATTGCGGCGCCGCGTCTTCAGAGTAGGATGGGGAATGCGGGACCGCACTGTTGAGGGAGAGGGGATGCACCCGACCGTTGTCGCGGTGAAGCACATAATCACGCTGAAAGGTCGACTGGTCCACGCTTTGATGCCGCCGAGAGCCCCTATTGAATACGGCGGGAGGAGGTGCGGGATCACGACCTCGGCGCTCAGTGGGTATCGGGCTATGAATAGAGCCGTGGCGCTCCTGAACATGATGGTCCTCGCTCGACTCCTCCGAACGCTCGTCCTCGTCGTGATCGAGCGACAGTCCAGGGCCCACTGAGAGGGTGCGGCGGTTGTTCCTGTACGGCGAGTCGGAACCTGCGCGAAAGAGGACGTACGATTGGGAATATATTTCGTGCTCCTCTGCGACTTCAATGCGACGTGCGCCGACGCCTATTATGTGCGGTGAGAGGCGCAAACGGAGAGATGCGTTGTGACGTACCCTCAGGCCATGCTGTGCTCGTCTTTCCCACCAATTCAATCTCGATGCTGGAAATCCTCGTAGGCTTTGCGAGCGTGAGCGTGAGCAAGCCGCGAAGCATGCCTGGGGGAGCGTCAGCCTGCACCGTGCGTTGTCTCCCGGTCGCATCCCCTGCACGCAGAAAGACTACAGACTCTGCCAGGCGAATGTCGAGCCCAGTCTTCTGCTGCTGCTTGGACTGCGGCATGGGCGACGAGCGGGAGGTCGAGAGTAAATTTAGCGGCTCTGTGGTGACCTCAGAGCCTCAAATAGCGAGTGAAGGCGCTCGTGCCTGGACACCGGCTAGGCCTGAGATGGAGCACGGATCAAGATCCGTGAAGATCAAAAACCTGAAAAGAGCATTCCATAAGTTTATTCACGGTAGATCTGGTGGCTACTCACGAGCAGCGGGAGCGCACGGGCGTGGCTTCGTTGCGGCTACTTTGAGGCGTACGTCGTCGATCTCCAAAGTAAGAGGCAAATGGGAACAGTCAGATTCGGCTGTGGTTTGTGGCACGTGCGTGAAACCACTAAGCGGATCTACTTCTTTTGGTAACCAGCTATAAGCATGATCGTCGACAAGCATGCGCCAAGTCTTCGGGCCTGACGCAGCAGTACTAGTCAGTCACGTCTACTTGCAAAATGAAGCACGAAAGATGTCGAAGCCTCAAGGGGTACATACCTCAGGCGCAGTCCCGGTGTAATCAATATTTTCGACGTTAAAAAAAGGCTTTGTTTCATGGGGCATGAAATCCACAGTGTAGAAATGGAGGTGGAGGGGAAAGAAGAAGAAACGGGGAATGGGGGTGTACGTCCCCGTTATATATGCGTATGCATCCTGTCGGCTTCGACCATGACAGAACTCAATTCAGATGACATCACAAGACGCAGAGGCGTCGACTTGCGATCGAGCTCACCATATCAGGTAAAAGCGCCACCGCAAAAGGCAAGAAGGCGCGTCTATGGCTTCGGCGCTCATCGCAATTCTCGCATACATCTGCTTCCCCTGGTACTACAACATGTTTTTCAGAAAATAAATGTATGACCCTGCGCAATACTCCTCGCACATCGCGCCGACGAACGACTGGACCTTGTGTAGACAACGAATCAAAGCGCGCCAACGTGTCGTACTCGAGTCATCCTGGAACGTGCGCGTGCGGAATTGCCCTGCGGAGGCGGACCAAGACATAGTCGGCCGCTTTCTTCCGCTTCGGAGTGCTCATTCTTCCTTTGACGTGTACGTGTGACATACGGCAACTCAACATGAATGTTCACATGAGGCTGCCCCGTCTTGAGTTCAAGTCGCCAGGGGTGGGCCCACACAAGCATGCCTCACCCAGGAGAACATGCAACGATCGCCTCAGCAGTTCAGCTTGAAAGATTGTGAAGACCGAATGCTGCATACTCGAGAAAGCTGCGGGTTCGCGTTTGCTCTTCAAGAGAATTTCTAGCAACTACATGTGCGCGCTGGAAGATGTATCTGATGGTAGACTTGGTGAAAAGTTTGCAATTTGCATTGTACACAGACTGATCACCAGGTGGAAAAGAAGTAGCCTTCAAGAAGATCCGGTCCGGATACCTGAAGCCCTAACGTGATGTTACATGTGCACAGCGTTCACTGGGTCAAATATCTTGAGGGCAGGCGAACGGTACGCAGAATTCACTCATTCCATCCGCGGAATGGGGTTGATTAACGACGTCTGTTCTGTCCATCGACGCGTTGAGAATAGACAAGGCGGGAAGGCAGGTCAAAGCCGCAAACACGGCGTGTACTCGAGATCCGAGTGATCCTGAGTGAAGAGGTGTGGATTAGACTGCGTAGATACACTATCGCGCAGGGATATAAGCTAGCCGCGACGCGAGCGGGGTCAGTCCTCGCTAGCATGCAATGGTCAATATACAACAATGCAGGCAAGACGTGGCATGGCGGCTCACTCGGGGGTCTCTCGTCTGAGGAAGAGATCTATCGCGGCAGAAAACGCCGCAAACGCTACACCACCGCCGAGCACAGCCTTCGGGCCCGCATTCCGCGCCAGGACCCCGCCCGCGACGAAGCCTGCCGCAACAGGGTTCACCATGTCGTTTTTCGCGCGATACTTGCAACGGGTGAGGAGCATGAGCCGGCGTCGACGCAAGAGCCCAGACGTGCCAAAACCCTCACCGACTCGATCACGCACTCGATCCCGGCAAACAGCGCGCCGACCTTGCCAAAGCCTTTCCCGCTGCGCCACATGCCGCGGCCCATCTCCTTGAAGACCTCGCTCGCCTTCTGCGTCCGGCTGAGCTCGCCGCTGGGGTGCCCGCGCAGCAGCGGGTCCTCGTACGCAAAGGACGAGCTCATGAGCGAGAAGAACGCTCCGATGCCGAATCCTGGCCGTCACAGCGCCGCGCCGACGCGAGCTTGCAAGTTTCAAAGTACGTTCATGGCGAAGAGCAAAGTAGCGGGCGTACCTCCCACCCCGGCGATGACCGTCTTTGCGGCACATGATTCCATGCCCATCGTCATGTAGTCCTGGTATTTCTTCGCCTGAAGAAAGTTCTCGCGCTCCTCTTCCGAGATGCCTGGAGGCAGTGGCTCCTTGCCTGCCGGAAAGACCGGCGCCACAAGCGGTATTGAGGGCATCATGTCGAGACGTGCGTTGGCGAACGAGTCCTCGCGGTGCAAGTTGTTACCAGCGTCTAGTCTATTTACTATCACAGCACGTGCATAAGCGCTAAATACTAAATACTTGAACGAATGATGTTGCATTCGTTCATTCTGGCCTATACTACCCCTGGGTTTGAACCTGGTATAGCTGAGTATGCTACCACCGCCTCGACACACCGAAATTCGTGCACCGCCGGATGGCGACGCGGCGATACGAGCAACCGACTCCGATGCTGCCCTCGCGCGCCTCTCCGCCGTCCAGAAACAATACCTCGCCGACCCATTCATACGGCATTTCGTTCCGCGCGCGCACCTTCAGCCACCGAGGCCCCCGCTCATCAACGTCGGAACCTACGTGCGTGCCGAGGGAATTGACAAACTCGTCGACCAGTGGCTCTCCCTGGCCGAGCAGGAGGGCACCGACTGTCAGATTGTGAGCCTCGGCGCAGGGAGTGACACGCGGTTCTGGCGGATTTCGGTGCGCAACTCATGCCCCTAGGTCGATCTCTCCTGAAGAATCAGGGCTAACAGAATGTGCATCTAGGCAGTCAGGTCCGCGGAAAGCATCGCTGAAAGCATATGTTGAGCTTGACTTTCCGGAGGTCACGATGAAGAAGGCCATGGCGATCAGGAAGAGCAAGGATCTCAGCGCTGTGCTAGGCAGCCCCGACGAGGTCAGGCTAGGTACGTGTGATCGGCGTGAGTCCGAGCTGGAGCCTGACGAACCATCAGCGAGCGGTGGAATGGCATTGCACGCGCCCACCTACCACCTGATCCCTGCAGATCTCCGAAAGCCGCCTTCAGAGATCTTCCCGCCGCTCGCAGGCTTGCTATCTCCTAGCCACCCAACCCTGCTGCTCTTCGAATGTGTGCTGGTGTATATGTCCTCTGCCGCGTCGGCCGCAGTCATCCAGTGGTTTGTCGACTACTTCTCCACACCATCCTCTAGCGATGGCGGGTGTGGCGTCCTTGGTGGTATCGTGTATGAGATGTTCGGGCTCGAAGACTCGTTCGGGCGGGTCATGAAGGCCAACCTGCAAGCGCGCAACGTCTCACTTCCTGGCGCAGAACCCTACCAGACCGCCCAATCGCTACCAAGTAGATTCTTGCAGCACGGGTTCACGATGTCGAACGCGCTCACGCTGCGGGACATCCGGCGCGCGTACGTTGATCCGGCTGAACAAGAGAGGTGCGTGGGATAACCGCTTGGCCCTGCTTCGCACTCACTTATGGTACAGAATCTCGCATCTCGAGATGCTCGACGAGATCGAAGAACTGGAGCTGGTCCTCGCGCACTACGCAATTACTTGGGGCGTCAAGCTTCCTCGGGAGTCGGCCGCGTTGCAGGCGAAATGGGCGGACTGGGGCCTGAGACCCGTGCGTACAACGTGAAGAGCCCGTCTGGCAGTCAAATGACCAAATGTATCAATATAAATATCGTGTGTATTTGTATGATGACGCGTAAGGCTCTGATCCTCTGCAGATGTTAATTGAGCTCCGTCACTTGAACACTTCCCGGTCCCCGCCGCACGCCAGTGTGCTGCGCATGAAACGTGCTTCCACACACGTCACAATAACGACATCATCTTATTGCGTTGGTAGATACTGAAACGGTTGTATGAAAGAGTCTGCCAAGAATAATCCTTCGACACAAGTAGTCCAGGAAAGAAGCACAAGCAAAAGGTAGTTTCTAGCACATCGGGGTTTGTCTGCTAATGTCACTTTCAAGCTATGGTATGAACACCGCAAGCTTCGTGTTTTGCAGCTGCAGCCGACCGATGGGTATCCTGACAAGATCCGTAAGATTTTGCTTTGCTCAACACCACGTTGGGCCTGAATGGGATTGCCTACCTTCGCCCCGGCGTGGGTCTGATCAATACGCATATTCGAAGAACAGAGGCACGACGACGGTTCCGCTTGGGCTTACAACTAAGGGAAGGCGTCATGGTGAGGCTTGGGGGCGTGATCCCTGGGTGCTCACCGGTGGTCTCATAAACGTATGTGGCTGCAGCGAGGAACACGGATTAGTCGCAGTGGGTACGAGCGGACGTGTGATTCTTACATGTCACTACGGGTATGGCGGAGGCAGCCACCCCAAGAAAAGGCCCGAAGAGCGTGCAAAATACAGCGGCGTATGTGAAGTTCATCTTGGGGTGAGTAGTGGGATGACTGACTCTCCCGTTCGTGGCTGCCTTTATACGTCCAGCGTGCGGCCGAATTCGCGAGTACGTCCGGTGCGTGACTCAGGCTTGCCGACAATACAAATGGTATGGAAGTGCTGCAGCATGCAGCTCATGGAACACTGAGTTTTGGGGAGAGTGGAGCGCTCGCAGGGAACACTATCGTAAGCGGTCTTCCCGTTACCAGACCAGTGAAGCAAACACGTCGAGTGTTACTTGGCTCGGAAGTCCAGGGAGATGCGAGCCTTCCCAGAGCTCACGCGAATATATCTCGACAAACTGGTGGACTCGGTCTGACGTTTGTGGTCGCTGGTCACCTTGTCTGGACATCGTGCGGCGCTTGATCGACCGAACTACGAATACGATCTACGATCTTTCAATGTTCCGCGGTCGACATGTCATATGCGTTTCGGCGACACAGATGACGTGCTATCTGTATAGTAATGGAAGCAGTCCTTGCCTCTCGGACGAAGTGACCTATTTATCCAAGCCCCTCAAACTCCGACGCACATCTCCGAACATCAATGTTTGCTTCCATAACATGACTCAAGGATCAATAACTAAGAGACCAATTCCGCGTGAATTTGCTCCTTTTACCGTGTGAATGTCCGGTTTCGCACGGCAAGGGGGGGAAAAGGTAGGTGAAGCCCAGTGAACACCGTGCACGGATGAAAGTCACTCGGCCCTCCTGACGGATGAAGCTCACCAGAAAGTGGCGGGTTATCATTATGCAGAACGACGAAGGTAAATGATGCAACACGTTAGAGATGGCAAGCCTTCTTGACAGAGCGCACCCTCCATGTATCAGGCAGGCCGAAATTGCAGCGAAGCTGCCGTTGCCACAAAGTAAGACACCAGCCAGCAGTCAGTATGCATGCTTCGTTCAAAAATACATATGGCAGATAAGTAGGAGTAGGGTGGCAGCGCATTGGAGTCCCTTTTCGCTTAAGTCTAGGTGACCGAGGGGCACCTGAAACTATCTGGAGATGTCGGACGACTGTTATATTGTCTGAGAACAAGATTTTGAGATCGACAAACAACGTGTGGCCGGGTTTGCTGTCAGTGCGCAGCACCGGGAAAATAAAAAGGATATATTCCGGGTTATGCCAGACCAGTGGCGCCGTGTGGCGGTGCCATTGCTCGCGCCACAGAAATACGGACGACCGACAGCCACAAAATGAATTACTCCTTCTGATATGGGAACCGAGCTGCTATGGCGTTCAGTGACCAGGAATGACACAAGGTAAGCGACAACATACAAGCAAAACCCATGATGTCAAAAAGCCCAGGACCCTGGGCGGTCATGCTCAGCGAGCGAAGGGTCCAAAAATAACCAAGCCCTGAGACCATTTCGACCGAGCAAGGCTGGGGTCTTAGGCTGGGAGTAGACGATCCTAAAGCTTGACGTTACGGGACGCTTGCCCCAGTGGCGGCATTTCAGAACTAGGTCCAACTGTGGCGCATATGTCTGCTATGAACTCCGACGAGGGTGGGGCAACGAGTGCTGTGCAATACTCGACAGCAAAAAAGGGGTATTACTGAAGGCTGTGCTTCGAACACTACTGGAGTTATGGGATTCACAATGAGGCTGTTCCCAGGCAGACGGGATGGCCCAAGCACCTCATCAAAGCGCCACCACACCTGCGAGCCTCTTACAGTATAAATAAACGCGTGTTTTCCCAAGTCGCATTATCATCTCCTTCCTACCCTCTCAATGTGCTCACTTTCCCAGATGCCAGACTTTTACAATTCTGTCCGCCGGCAGACAGAGTTCAAAAATCAGGCCCAAGTTGTCGAGTCTTTGTGTTCTCTCATGAGACACCCTCAAGAATTCAGACCAGAGGAATGGGCGTGTGTTTGTATCCAAGGCGAGGAGAAATCGAAGTCACTCGACCATCTAGCAACGTTCATATACAGGTTTGCCGAAACCAACGCCGAAATCAAAGAAATCAAGACACTGCGTATCGAGCGGGCACAGTGGAGGTACATTCCCCACTTCGTTAACCTTACGTCGATCCTTCTTGGCTACTGGAGATCCGTCACCTGTCTCGAGCTCCACGACGTAATTTTCCCAAATGTCACGGCAATGTTCGATCTTCTTCGTGCTCTGCCCGAGATGAAGCAGCTTGTCTGCCACGGCGTTGCTTTCTCCGGGTCCGAATGTGATCTGGAGAAGCTATCGAAGTATCCGCGGCTGCCACAACGTCCGTTCGAGAAGCTCCAGACGCTGAATCTGTCTTCGTTGCCCGTGAGTGACAATCTCCAGCTGTCGAGCTCTGTCGGGGACATGACGAGGATCTTCAAAGCCGGTATACGCAACTGCCAATTCGTTGTCGTCGAATATCGCCTCGCTTCTTCCACCGACTTGACAGAGAACACCGCGGGCCTTGATATCAAGAAGCTGATTCAAGACTTTGGCGAATCACTGTGCGAAGTAACCCTTGACTTAAAGGACAATAATAGCGAATATAGGACATCTGCACCGCTTATCATACGCACATAGCTGACCCCGTTGTCTGTGTATAGGGAGTAGTTGGTTGACTTGAAGCACGTGCGCCCCATCCTCGCGCCTTCGGTGTATCAGACGTACGTGCACCGTCCGCCGAGGCGACAATCGCAGCGCGGAGAATGGGGCGCAGAAGAACTAAATCCATTCGGCGAACAGCGATAAATACTTGGTGTACTCCAGGGGATACAACCGCTTGTGTACCGATAATTTTGTTGCAGATGCCATTATGATACGTTTTCCATTATTTACTAGCGATGGAAGACAGACGGGTGCTTCGATCTAGCTGCGCTAAGTCTATGAACAACTCATCAGTGTAGAGCCCGCCTCCATCGGCATAGTGGCACTGCAAGAACTCACCGTGGCTGTGGCATGTTCCGTCCATCACCGTGACCAGCGAGCTGCGACTCGGATCTGGAAGCATTAGTCCAACACGCTCTACAGTCATTCGGTCATTGATCTGTGCTTGCATTCATTATTATGCCAGTGTCAGACAACGAGACAAAGACGATGGACATTTACCATCATGTCATAAGCGGACAATAATGGCAGACTGTACAAGGACGTGAGAAGCCGGCGCTCGCTGTAACAGGGGTGAAACAAACGCGCAAGCTCACGTCGCGAGCATATGGACGCGAAAGTGCCATTTCCGGCGATATATCTGGCATTGAGCGCAGCTTGGAATCTATTGCAGCATTTCAGTACAACAGCGGCATAAGCACTACACATACATTCCTTCAATCATACATAAGGTTGAACTGCAGCTCCCTGTCAATGCCCGCGGCGGGAACTTCATGAGTACTTATCTACCTTCGCTTTATTGTGCATTCCTCTAAAGCGTGTCACCCTGGAAAGCCTATTCATCATCTTCAGGCCGACACGGGATCGCAAACGTGCAGGTCAGAATATTCACCAATTACCGCGGCCGTTCATGGCAGGTCCAGGGCAGGTTGCTTAAGCTCGATTTCGACTGCGGCGAAGTGCCCATTACTGTAGCCATATTGTTTGTGTGGAACCTCAGAGAATTATGCCTTTCCTCGCATTAGGAAGCACGATGATCCCATAAAACCGCCCGGTGTTGGTTGAGAAAGAGTCTCCAAGAGTCTCCCAGCGCTAACGTCTGAGCGGCCCTGTTTAGCGCCGATATGTTGTTGTATACACTATCTACCATCACTGAGTACGCACGCTCTCACAGTAGTCTATCAGATTGGCCGACGAGGACTCAAATACTTCGGCGGGCTCGACTACGCCAGTATCGTCGTGACGCTTGTTTCGCATATGCGGTCGATCTGATGCTGGGGCGTTCGAACCTCGACCTATCCAACCGCCGACATTGCCGCCGTGGCCATATTAGCACCCTCTCGCATCGTCGGCTCCACAACCTAAAGGATATGCTTCGCGACTGATTCGGCTATCTTAGAGCTCTGGAACCTCCAGATCAGGATGCAGTGCGTGTGCGAGTTTGGTAGTATTAACAGCTACCGCAACAGCCATGACGAGTATGTTGGACTTCTCGCCTTGTAGAGGGAGATTTCTCAAGAGCTGTCGGGGACTAGGAATGTGCGGGCCCGATGGTGGAGTATTGGGAGTATATAAATCCACTACAAATCAGGTGTCCGCGTTGCAGGCCTCCAGTACAATGTCTTCCATATCATGGAAGGACACAATATGGATGGTGTTGAATTTGAGGCCGAGTACGAGTTGTGAGGTAATGCGGTCCCATAATAACTATAGCGACATTGCGGTATGTGGCCTTCTGTCTCCATGGATGTTGTCCATTCAGGGGCTGAAATATTTCATTAGCATGGTCGTAGGCCTTTACCTCAGCTTGAGGTACTTGTCGACACCCCCTGCGACCAAGGACTTTCAAGGAGGTATTAGAGGAAGTGCGGAGCGTTTTTTGGTCGGGGGCCGCCTTGCGGTCAGTCGTGCAGTCGCTTCAAGTGAGCGTACTTCCAGTCTGCCCTCTCGTGCATTGCCTGAGCACATCTACCTTTTGTAATATTCGACATGTCTCCAGCGCTCCGTTCCAATTATGCTTATAATTTGTCTACGCGCGTCCTCATCCCAGCGCTTCATCCGTAGAAAGGTTCACCACATATGTTCGATCGCAATGCGTGGTTTGTCTTTTACTTAGAGGCGGCATAAGCAGCGTAACTATGTGCTTCTGCCTTCGAGCATATAATTATCTCGGTTATCCGATTGCAGTATGCCTAAGCTTCTCGCCAGCGTGGACTCCAGCCAACGAATCGAATTCTATGGGTCTAGGCGACACCGTTCTTGCACGGCCAAAGCAACGCACACCTGAACTTCAGTTTGGTACGCAGAAAATCTCATATCACTGGCGGAATTCTCGAATTCGCCTCTGAATGTCTGAAGAAGCTAATGGGCGACGGCCACGCGTACTCAAATGCGGAATCCCCTCGTTAGCAGGACATGTCAGCATACGCCGGAGAAGCTATTGCATACATTTTACTGTGCAGCAGCGCCGGCTCCGTCATTATGCTTCTATCCCTCACGAACGGATCTCAGGAAAGGGGTTGCAGCGTGCCCATGCAAAGGCACCACAGCATGGTATGCCGACCATATGTGCTAGTAGCAGGGTACTAGGCTTCGCTGTGTGTTGTGCATTCACCGATCTTCTTTCTGCTGCTAGACACATTTTGTTAGCACAGCGTTTAAATTCGCTAAACACCCGTAACGGTACGCAGCAGGATAGCGGGCTGGGCTATGTGTTTATTTTCTGACTAGGATCGTACATGAAAGAATACTAAATGGTAAGAGGAGGAAAGCGTTTGTTGACCCAGGAACAAGTCTTTGAGATACGGTACGAGCATGGGACAGTCCCGCTGAAGATATTCTGAGCGTTAGCGGTCGCGAGTCCCAAGAGCTCATCCTCTAGATCCTTTATGCGCGGGCAGTAAACCATGCTCTTCTCAATGAGGACGCGTATAGCCTGTCTAAACCATACGCGGCAGGTAAACCTCTGCACACTGGAAAGCTCAAATACAGGAGTCGCCATGGGAATCTCCTGGAGGAGGTCGCGGACCTCTGCGGGGGTAAAGGTTCGGGTAGGCGTCCGGCGAGAACCTAAGCGTGGTCTCAAACCCATCAGAAAAGTCTTGCAGCGTAGGATATGACTACAGACCGATTTTGAGAACCACGCACAACCTAGCAGAGTGTATGAGGTCCTGGTCGCTAACATCGAACCGCCAGAATTGACCGGGATCGATCGCATGGATTTTCAAAGCTTGGCCCCCAGCTCCGGCGCCAGGAAGTGCCAAACTCCAGTGGAAGGTCCCGTCATAACGAGTGAACATTGCCGCCACAATAGAGTGATTGTCTATCATTTCTTCGGCCATGGGTGCTATGTTAGGCGAGTCTGTCATCTACATGGCTGCCGCAATGAGGAAGGTCGAGGTTGTGCGTACCTTGGTTCTTGTCCACTGATTGCACACAACAGACGTGGCCGCGCCGCGTCTTTGGCCAACTGGCCTTTCATATATATGAAGGAGCTCCGATCATCCGGTTGGCCTTATTTGTCAAGAAGCCTCTCACATGCAGCAACGCGTGTTCGTAGCAGCCATGCTCTTGATAACTGGCCTTGGGCGGCCAGAAGACCCAACCCTACAGCGTCTATCGGATTGGAATGAGCCGGACAATCACACATTTCTCACCAAAGGATCTTCGCAGCGGAGTCTCTTCCGTCAAGTGACCGGAACTGTGAGCAGAGCCACACATATCACCGACAGCCGTATTGTACGACATCATGAGGACTCCCTGTTCATCCAATAGTTCAATTTCGATTCCGCCGTCGTGATAGAGAAACATCAGTTAGTGGGCACATGCCGCACATTCTACATGCCTATCCCAATGATGGCACCGAGCATCGTATAGGGCTGCTATCACGTTCGCTCCCAGCTGTATTGAATGATAGCACTCATTACAATTCCCCAAAGCGCGGCCGCGGTACGCATGCAAATACTCGCATAGAGTGAAACTCACCCTCTCATACGCTATGGTATCAGGCCCATTGACCGCAAAGCATAGCCCGATGTGTTCAACTACCCAAATTGACTCCACTGCAGATGTCTACGCGACCACGTCCACTTGCGGTCTCGCTTCTCGTGCTATTGCAGTTCATAACGCTCGCCTGCTTCTCGGCTAACGACACGCCACCCTTATACAAGGATCCTGATCTAGTGGCGAACATCTCCAGCCCGGTCCGAAAGACATCATTGGATGGTGAAGCTTTTCAGGGATCGTGCGGATTTGAGATAAGGGCGACTCGCAGTGAGAAATCGATGTACGAAGCAATGCCTGGTCTATGGCCAAACAGCGGACTTGCGGGTCCAACCGCGTGGGCGCTTCCGGAGATCGCCGCGTGCTTCAAGCCGATCTCACAGTAGGTACGTTCAAAGTTGCCGCTTCAATGTCGCTGGAAAACAAGCGACATTTAAACGGCCAAAAGCAGCGAGCAGAATCTGAGCCCCCTCCTCGAACAGCGAGATAGAAGCGACTGCTTGTCGCAAGCGCTCGCAGATTTTGGCTTACGGCATGTCACGTTTGCATGGTTCGCCAGCCTGATTGGCTGGTCAGCCCTTCGCAAGCCGAGAACATAATCAGATCACGGCTGCATCACGCTTAGTCATCTGTGACACTTTCAGCGACGTTTCAGCGACCTTCAGCCACATTTGGGCGCTCAAAAGCAGCAAAAAGTCGCTTCTTTTCCAGCGAAATTTAAGCGGCAATTTTGAATGCACCTAGGTCATAGTCTCCTGTGAGCAGAGTAGACAATACCTTCAACCTGCGCGGGCTCCGGATATCCTTATCTGACTCTCATAGCAGCCTTTGCTCCAAATACTAATTATTTGAGTGGACGATTCCCTCGCGGTCATCAAGTGACCTATCGTTGTCTCGTACCCATCCCCCCGTATCCGCACCCCACCACCGCGAAAAGGGGGTCTGGGGCAGTTAGATAGGCGCACCCCCCCCTGGATTAAGCGCCCTACAAGCGCCGGAATGTAACGGTCACAGTAGGCTTCTGGTACCTAGAAATGATGCGATCTTTGATCGCGTTCCAAATCCGGTACTCACACCTAGCAGGTCGTGTTCGAGGAAGTGTCAACAAAGGCATACCTGAGCTTGTAAAATACTTGAAAGGCCACACAAAAAATATCTATGCAAAACTCAGCCTGTAAGTCTATGACTAAATGAAGTATCATGTGGAAAGCATCATGATGAAAGCTGCAACTTCTCCTTTCAGTATCTGTGGCATCCTTATGATGTTACTGGAGGGGTATATCTCATGAAATACTTAGATTGCTGGTGGATATAGTATGTGAGGCTTATCTAAGATGCTTGAAACAAGTAAACTTGAGATTCTGTGGCAGATCACAATGTAGCGTCCACCAGTCTCGAGCACGACCTGCTAGGTGTGAGTACCGGATTTGGAACGCGATCAAAGATCGCATCATTTCTAGGTACCAGAAGCCTACTGTGACCGTTACATTCCGGCGCTTGTAGGGCGCTTAATCCAGGGGGGGGTGCGCCTATCTAACTGCCCCAGACCCCCTTTTCGCGGTGGTGGGGTGCGGATACGGGGGGATGGGTACGAGACAAACCTATCGCTGCGGCTGACCCATTCTGGTCGCTGAAACTGGGGAAGCTACTGCTCTTCGTAGACTTCTGTCAGAGACCGTCTTGGGGTTTGACTTCATACCTGAGTTCGACGTCTTGAACTACGAGGTGAGTCTTGACGGAGTCATTGTGACAATCACATCATTTATTTGTTCTCCCACCTCAGTTATATCTGGTCCCTACTGCAGCTCCCACTTCTACAACGCCTGCGCGGGAGAGTATATACCACTATATGGAAGCTTTCGCGGCGTTTAGGTCGCGGCGAACATGCTGCGCGTGTGATGCCCCTGCCATTTGGCCTGTATCTCAAGAAAGCCTACCCACAAGAGGTCTTGGCCACTCAGTACGTTCGCGAGCACACAACAATCCCTGTTCCTAGAATTCTCGACGTCGTCCCTTTCTGGCGCGATCAGGTCTACATACTGATGACGCGAGTACCCGGCGAGGAGCTAGGCAAGAGCGCAGGCCACATAAGGAACCTCTCGCCTCGTCAGCTACAGGTCCTCGAGGACACGCTTCGCGACTGGTTCGGCCAGCTCAGAGCTCTCGAGCCTCCAGATCCGGATGCGGTTTGCGGGTTTGGTGGCAATGGGATCAAAAGCTATCGCATCAGACATGACGAGTATGTTGGGCCC